CTCAGCCTCCCTAGCACTTGGATTATAGGCATGTACCATCCTGCCTGGTTTCGGCCATTGGCCCGCTTCTGGGCTGGCATGCCTCCAGGCCTGCATGGTATGCCATACTGGGGATCGAACCCTGGTCCTTGCACTTGCCAGGTAGGCACTTAGACCACTGAGCTATCTCCCCAGCCCAATCCTACCTTTCTCTTAACATTAATTTTCCTTACTGTGATCTCAGAGCATGAGGGTACTGCCTTTTTTTTTTTTTTAAATAAAACCCATCCCTTTCTAGCTTCATGATCTTTCTGTATTTTTTTGTTCCTTATTTTTCCTTCTATTCATGCTCTCATTTTCTACTGGTTGTTTCATCTTTCTATGAAAAGAATCAAGTAAAAAAATTCTTTATACCTTCTTATTTTTGTTGTTGTTGTTGCTCTGTTTTCTTGGCACTTCTGGGGATGGACCCCCGAGCCTTGTGCATGCATGCAAGTGATCTATCATGGAGCTTCCTGCCCAGCCATGCACTTTACTCTCTTCATCACTTTTCCCAAAGGAAAAGAGAATTCTTACTTGTGTCTCTACTTCCTTTTTTCCATCTTTGTCCTTCTTCATTGATGTTGGCTTCTGCTTTTTATGTGATACTGAATTGTTCCTTCTAAAGAACTGAATTGCTAAATCTAAAATATTGGTCTATGCCGTCATGGTATGTTTGGCATTGTTTATCTTCCCTTTGGAAATCCCGTGACTTCTGAACACTTTATGCTTTGCTCTCGTTTGCCTGTTCTCTTAACACCTGTTTGCCTGCCTTATGAAATGTTCCTCAGGGAACCATTTCCTGCATACTTCTTTTTTTTTTTTTAAATTTATGCTATGTACTCTCCCTCTTTCATCCCTTCTCACGATGTTAATTGCCTCCTAAATGCCATCAGTTCCCATATCTTTAGCTTCAGCCCACAAATTAACTGTGATTTTCAGATATATGTTCATAGCCTGATGGAAATTTCCATTTGGGTGATTAAAGGTAATCAAGGTCATTTGGTCTAATATTTAATTATTTTTGCTTCCTATTTTAGCTCTTAATATTGTCTGAACTGGTGATATTTAATGGATTCCTATTTCAAGGTCTTAATGACTTTTACATAGAATATCTTCAAATCTCATGATTTTCACTTAAGTTAAATAAACTATTCAACATGCAAAATTTGTCACCTTTATTCCTTTGTTTAAAGTTTTTCAGTGGTTTCCTATGTCCTGTAAATGGAGTTCATAGCTCTCTTGTGATTTGACCCCTGCTTTCTTCTCTGGCCTCCTTTTAATTCTTTCTACCCACAAACTTCATTTTCTAGTAATCCTGAATTCTTTATCATTCTATAATCACAATATGGTATTCCTCCTCTTTGTCTTTACTGTGTCATCTACCAGTGTTACAATTATTTTACCTCTTCTTTTCTTTTTCTTTTTTTATTAAACTCATATCTATCCTCTGAGATGAATATCCTTCTCCAAATTTCTATATTGCATTGGGCATCTATATCTTCTCTCTGCCTTCTTTCAGGCTTATGGATATTTTTATTACTGTGTCCAGAAGAATGCTGACATGTAATTTGAGGTCAATACTTCTGCTCCTCCTCCTCCTCCTCCTCCTCCTCCTCCTCCTCCTCCTC